CCCGTGCCCCCAGGTCCCTGGGATGCAGAGCCGACTGCATGACCCTTTCCAATGAGGAAACGAGGCTGTGCGTGGGCAGGAAGCTGCTATCTGCAGACACAGGCCCTTCCTCTCTGGGAAGAACATTCCAGAAGTCTTGGAGTCAGGTTCCAGTGTCCCCAATCTGACCCTGCCCCATTCCCAAGCTTCCATACTCCCACCTATAAAATAGTAACCCCTCTACCAGTGAGTACAATCCAACTCCCAATGCCCCCACAGGGCTCCCCAAACCGCCCATCGTCACAGGAGTGGACGGTCTCATCTTTCTCCCTCAGAGCAACTGGTGGGTTTGAACTAACGACCTCTCACTGAGCAGCCAACCATCTAACCTACCGCACTGCCAGGTGTCCTGTCTATAAAATACGACAACAAAAATTTTTTTTATTTACTTATTTATTTTGAACAATAATCATTTTACATCCAGCGCTGGATGTTTCTTTGTGGGAGCAGACAGACTTGACAGAACTCCCTCCCATTCTGACTCACGGCGACCCACCGGACGGGATCGCACTGCCCCTGTGGCTTTCTGAGGCCCTAAGTCTACGGAAGGAGACAGCCTCATCTTCCTCCCTCTGAGACACTGCTGACCTTGAGAGCCACAACCACTGCACCACCAGGCTCCTTGTGTGGCTGTGAGGTGCCGGGCAGTCAGTTCCGACTCACGGTGTCCTTGTGCACAACCAAACGAAACACCGCCCGGTCCTGTGCCACCGCGCGAGTGCTCTGAGGCCTGAGCCCACTGTGTGGATCCAGCTCGGTCTTCCTCTCCTTTGCCGCCCCTCCACTTTATCAAGCAAGATGTCCTTCTCCAGGGACTGGTCTCCCTTGACCACGTCCCAAGTACGTGAGACAAAATCTCATCATCCTTGCCTCTAAGGAGCTTTCTGGTTGTCTTCTGCCAAGCCCTCTCTGTGTTCTTTTGGCAGCCGGCAGTATATTCCGCTTTCTTCCGCAGCACCAGCATTCAGCTGTGGCAGCATCCCTTCCTCCAGGCTCCACTTCTGCACGCGTAGGGGCCATTGCAAACACCAAAGGCTTGTGTGGGGCGCACCTCAGTCCTCAAAGTCACCTCCCAGCAAGGGCTTCAAGTCCTCCTCACTTTCAGTAAGCAAGGTGGGGTCATCCGCACATCGAAGCTTGTCATGTGCCTCCCTCCAACCCTGAGGCCTCATGAGCCTTGGTGGCCTACTTCATGCATGGACTCTGGTTTCTCGGACGGCTTCTTGCCTGGCAGACAGGGTAAGGCAGGGGCAGCTGGCCTGGGCTTTCCAAGACAGCGACTCTTCTCTCCCACAGATCAGCTGGTGGCTTCGAACTGCTGACCTAGTGTTGAGTGCCCCAACTCATAACCACTATGCCACCAGGGCCTCTTAGAGCCTGGCTGGTTACTCGCTTTCTTGGATCTGCAGGTGGGGAGATGGGGGCAGACAGAGTGTGCAGAGCTTTTGCCACTTCTTGTGGTGTCTTTGGCCAGTAAGGGTACAACATGCCGCCAGCCTCCGAGGATGGCGAAGGTTTCCTGCATGGGTTTACAGAAGACCACAACACTGGTGATTCTTCTTTCTTTGTGTAAGAAAGCTTCATATCAAACAGTAATTGTATGTTGAGAAAACATCCCAGCCCAGTCCAAATCAAGTCCATACGTCCGATATTAGCCCATATGTCCAATACTAGTCCATAAATTCTTCTTTAAACTCACACAACACATGCAATGACGCCAAGTGCAAGAAGATTACAGGCCAGTGGGTAGAAAGTCTAGTGGACCAAGTGGCAGTGGAAGCATCTCAGCACTGGCAGGGTTCTCCACGCAGTTCCTTCAGCTCCAGGGATCTGGCTTCACCAGCGTGGCTACATGTGTCTTGTCCATCTGGCCTCCAGTGAGCTATTTATTTTGTTCCCACTTCCAAATGAGGTCATCAAGCTGAGACCTGATTGACAGGCTGGACTCCACCCCTTCACAAGATGGCCAGACCACCCCTTGTCAACTTGACACTTTCACACAACTCTTCAGCCATACACAGTTTTCAATGGTGATAATGAACAAAAAAAGTCCTCAACGCAACCAGCTGACCCCAGAATTTCCTTCGTGGGAAGGTTTTACATTATGCATTAAATTGATCAATTTAGTTGGGTACTATCCAGGTTATTTGCTTCTTTAGTGCCAGTTTTAGTAAATCGCATTTCATTTAAAATTTCAAATTTATGGCCACAACATTGTTCATATCCTTGTAAAGTTTGCAGGAGCTGGTGTGTTGGCCCCCTTTCTTTCTATTTATTGTGTTTACTTTTTTCTGAATCGGTCTTTCTGAGGATTTGTCGGTTCGGTTAGCTTTGACGATAAACAAATTTTCATTTTGTTGATATTCTCTTTTTTCATTGATTTCTAACCTTGCTTTTATTATTTCTTCTTTGGGATAATTTGGTGTTCTTCTGGTTTCTTGAAAAGTCACTTTCCTAAAAATAAACAGATAAACAAATAAATAAAATCATTTTATTAGGGGCTCATACAACTCTTATCACAATCCATACATATATCAATTGTGTAATCTATACAATAAAAATGTTTAAAAGATGCTTTCCTCCTTTAAAAGGGCTATATGTTGGCCTCTAAGTGTAGCAGTAGCTGCATCCACAATGTTTCAGATAATGCGTTTTCATTACAGCTCCTTTCAAAATATTTTATAACCTACACTGTGATTTCTTATTTGATCCATACAGATGCTGTTTAATTTCCAGACATTTGGGGAGATCTCTGGTCATTTTTCTACTGTCGAGTTTAAGTTAACTCAGAGAGGTCACACTGTGTGATCTTTTTTCACACTGTGTGATCTCAGTCCTGTGAAATTGGTTGCAACTTGTCCATGGTCTCTATTTGTCCGAAAGGATGTTCTACGTCTGTTGGGTAAAGTGTGGTATATTTGTGAATTAGGTCAAGCTAGCCCGACCTATTGTTCAAACTGTGATAAGGGGGTACAGCGACCAGAAACAGACCCTCGCCCTGTGGAGAGTCAGGGCAAACGTTCTATTCAGCAGGAAGGATGATCTTTTCAATGAATGGGGTTGGGTCGGTGGGTTTTATAAGGAGGAGAAAAAAAGAGCTTTGCCTCCTTACCCCACACCATTCACGGGAATCTGTGACCCGTCACAGAGCAGAGACGGAGACAAGCAGCCCAGGAGGGCCTGCACGGGGTTCCTCGAAGTTCAATTCTGTTCCTTAAAGGCAGGCATCAGTGCGTCGGACGAAATCCGAAATACAGACACCACACAGAATCAACACGAATGGACAAGAAAAAGTCA